GTGAGATGCTCGATTCCAACCAGACGAATCGTATAAGCCGAGAACCTATCGCGGATTCTAAATCGGTATGGAATCAGGTTAAAATCGCAACGGGCAAAACGAAAGCCGATTAGTCATCGCACAGCCCCAATCCGAAAGTAAACCTAGGTCTTGCCCTAAACCCAACACACTGGTCGCTAACGTCTCAAGGCATGAATCGAGATCCTAAAGGCATGTCTCTTTGCCCACATCTAAACACTCGCGAAAATCGAAATCTCCCGAGTTAACGAATCGGACGATCTACACCTAAGAGTTAGGTACGAGATGACAACTCGTATTCTTTCCTCTACATCTAACATAAAAAAAAAAACGAGTTTTATACTTCGAAAATATTTTCTTATTAAACATCTGAATACACACCGCCCGGCGGTAGGGATTCAAAGCCACCAACGGCCAGTCCCGGAAAAACAACGACAAAATCGAAAAAACTAAGAACATCACACATCAAAGTCGTCAAAAGCGGACTGATCGACCTTTCCACCCGTATCCGGGATCTCAGGTCCAACTTCGATCGAATCCGGCGATACCACGATAGGATCCCACTGATCCCACATAACCTTCCCGGGGTTAGCGGATCCGTTCTTTTTCTTCTCTCTCTTAGCTAGACGCTTCTTCTGCTTCGCAATCGCAGCCTCATACGAATAGTCCGACTCTTGGGTAAGATGCAAACCCCCAACTACGCCCCGACACTCGCGGAAATTACCATTCGCTCTTTGCGCATCTTCAAATTCCGCATAAAGAGGCACGAACCGCTCGCTCCGAGCCATCAACTCCGCAGCAACCTCTCTTTTGCCTGCCCTACGAGCACGGCGGGCCATCGCGTCGGAAAGTTCTAAGCTTCGACGGGATTCAGCTTCATATTCTTTTCTCACACGAGCAGTCTCCTTCGCGGCCAAATCCTGGGCACGAGAGAAATTGGCGTCGATCTCCTCTCTGATACGAACAGCCTCTGCCTCTGCTGCTGCAGCCCTGGATTCGGCCCTGCGAAGCTCCGCACTATTCGCATTCACCGCCTCGCTCATAAAGCGAAGACTCTGCAAAACAGAGCAAACATCCTTCATAAAAACGTACATATACAATCATACAAATGAATAGGCAAACCTTGTTGAAAAGCCTCGACGCTTTCGCAAACGGTGTGTCGGCTGGCCCTCGAGATGACGTCTCAGCCAGATCGAATTCGGAAGGCGAAAAATCGATAAGATCCTCGATGTCAAAATCGTCGATAGATGCCGGATCACGATCAACCGGAACTTCTCTATCCTTCGGAGATCTAGATCTTTCCCTCTCCTCCGCGCCATCGTCCGCCTTAAGATCGGCATGACCATCACGAGAAAAACCGGACGAATAATAGGCGGCAGCACGACGGATNCGCCTTAAGATCGGCATGACCATCACGAGAAAAACCGGACGAATAATAGGCGGCAGCACGACGGATCCTTTTCGGAGAAAAAAATCCCCAATGAAGCGGGCCACCGCGCAGAAGATTCATAACCTTCGGAAAATCTTCAAGCATCGGTACCGGAAGCGCAGGCACTGCGAAACAAACGAAAAAGTTAAAACCTATGTTGGCACAGATATGGGTATCACGTTAATGAAATACCGTTTGTCGCCCGCGCAGCCCTAATCAAAGGAATACAACTCTCCTCCACCGATTCGCCGTCAATTTTGACATAAAAGAAACGGCAAATCCAGTCGTGATCATTCGAGGTAAGCCCGCCAACAACCGTCATGCCCCGTCGAGGGGCTAGGTAAAAACCATCCTTCCTCACCTTGAACGTCAATATGGACAAAAGATAATCCGCGTCAAGGGACATACCGCGTTCGTACCCCAACACCAGAATCTCGATAAGGTTCTGTAAGCCTTTAGGGTGTAGTTGGCCGAACGGTACTCCAAACCTATCCAAGAATTCAAAAATGGCCCGAGGAATGGGAAACCATAGATGGCAGGTTAACAGAAAGGCTTCATAGCACGTGAAATAACCCGAAGGCGGATCCCCGGCACTCATACCCTCGGCAGGGATGCAAAACTGAACTGACTCGGGATCGCGCAGGTATTTTTCAAATATCTGAGAGAACCAACGTTACTCGTGCTCACGCCAACTACCTTCTTTCGAGGATTTTTTCTTTTCGGAACCCAGAAATTCGGAGGCGGCACCTCCGCGGCTCTCACGGCTGAATAGTAGTCTGCGAACTCTTCCTTAGTCGTAAAGAAACGTTGGAAGACCGGCTTGGGGAGAGAACAGCTGCCGGAAGTGTCAAGGTCGCTCGGATCAAAGATTGACGCATGAGCATTATCAGAAATTCTCCGTCCAAAAGACATGTTGGGTAATCGAAAGAAAAAAATCTAGAAGAGAAAGTAGAAATAAGTCTTCTTAAGAACTTAAGCAAATTATGGAGGAATGAATGAAAAATTTCCAGAACTCACTCCATATACTTATAGAGAAGAATCTTACTATTCACCTTTGGACTTTTGGCCATTAAAGTTCCGCCTAATTCCACCAAACTCGCCAAACGAGCTCAAACCACTCGCAAGAATCTCACGATTCGTACGAGCTGGGGGGCTAACTGTTGGGGTCAAAATCGGTACGACGGAATTAATAGCCAAAACTTTCCGTAAAAATACAAAAAGAACAGTTTTATAAAGCTCAAGAATCGTTTTATAAAACTCGAGCAATCGTTTTATAAAAGCTCGAGAAACCGTTTTATAAAAGCTCGAGCAATCGTTTTATAAAAGCTTGAGAATCGTTTTATAAAACTCGAGAATCGTTTTACAAAACTCGAGAAATCGTTTTATAAAACTCGAGAAATCGTTTTACAAAGCTCGAGAATCGTTTTATAAAACTCGAGAATCGTTTTATAAAACTCGAGAATCGTTTTATAAAACTCGAGAATCGTTCTATAAAACTCGAGGATCATTTTATAAAACTCGAGAATCGTTTTATAAAACTCGAGAATCGTTTTATAAAACTCGAGAGTCGTTTTATAAAACTCGAGAAATCGCTTTATAAAACTCGA